CCCTCCTCGCCCGACGCCTGCCTCAGGCAGAAGGCGCTCTACACGGCCACCAGCGGCCACTACGTCGACTTCAAGTGAGTATATTTTTTGTTGCGCTCACTACTGTATTGTTATTGTTCCTTTCTGTCAATGTTTTGGCAAGCAAAGCAGCCTCCACATTTCGAGTGCATTTTGGTGGATACAGAGATCCCAAAACGCGAGCGTGATTTTCACGCCAGGCGTGATGAAAGTCGGTTCCTGATTGGCTGTGTGAAGCTTGCGAAGCGTGAAAAATCACGCCTGCCGTGAAAAATCACGCCTGCCGTGAAAAATCACGCCTTGCGTGAAAATCACGCTTGCGTTTCGTGAACTCTGTATCCACACTTTTTCAAAAGTTTGTTTTGCACTTTCCATAGCTTGTTTGACAGCCGTTTCGCGAAGTTTACTTGAACGGTTTCGCTTATTTGCAGGCGCGCTGGAGCCTACCACTTGTATACCTTCTGGCCCCATTCCAAGGGCTTCAACCAGCCTGACGCTGCGTAAGTTACATCTTTACATAGCTAGAAACCCAATAAACAAATTTTCATAAACGACAAATTGCATTTTAATGTCGTATTTATTTTACCCAAGAACACTGTTCCACAAAGCAAACAACAAAACATAAATTCAAGAAAGCACTACTAACTATTTGTACGAGAACTTGGAGCGGCACACAAATTCAAGAAATTAACAGGAGCAACACAAGTGGTATGTTTTTATAGAGAATTAGGCACACCAGCCATTTTTAAAAACCACAGAAGAGCACACGGAGACAAAGGGGATCATCCATAAAGTACGCCTGTTTTTCTCAGATTTACTCGAACAAATTACGGGAGCACGGCGCCTGCGAGGCTCAATGTAGGCCACCCCGCAATGTACAGAGTACAGGTACTAATGGAATTATGTTGCCTACCTATTAGGCCCTATGATAGCTTGCATGGTGCAGCTGCACACAGAATTTGGTAGGATCGTATCGTAACAGAGAATGACGAACGTACTTTCTGGACGATCCCTGGGGCATCCATATACTACGTGGTTTTTTGAGCCCCCC